AGTGGGAGAACTTGCACAATTGGTGGCTGACTAAATACTTTTTTGCCCCACTGTATATGACTTTTAATCATTGTATATTTCTGATTCAGGAATAGGTAATCTGGGTGCCTTCCAGATGTTTGGATTTTTTTTGTTCTGGAAGGTCTCTGGATTCTAGCTGGTAGAAAGCTTGACCCTCCGAGTATAGTACTTTTTATTCAAAAGGAGATTCTGCACGTTGTATTTTCAGTTAGGTGAAAGCATCTTTAGTTTTGTTTTTTTCTTAAGAATTCTAAGCTTTGATAACTTGAGATAAATTCTAATAACTTTCTTGCTTTTGGTTATCCTATTACCTCATGCTAGGTTTTCACTGTCCCAAGTGGCTGATTCACATTATTAGGAGATTCATTATCCCTGTTTATAAAAACTAATTGATCCAAAAACATTTTATTTAAAAAACCTGCTGTTTTCAAGGAGGCAGTAGCAATCATTTATTTGATCTCATGATGAAAGCTTTAACTAATTCAACTTATATGGCAAGTGAGAAGATGTATTAAAAGATACAGACATTGATTTAAATTGTATTTATATAACTTTCCAGATAAAATGTTTCCTTTCAGCTTAAAGAAATAATCTTAGAATATGCAAAGATGAGCAAGACAAAAGACAGACACAGAGTATTATAACTTCTTTATGGGATGTTCTTGTTCAGGATTCCTACCAGCCTTGTGTAAGATATGAAAAGCCTAAAGGAAGTCAGACAGGGCATTTAACTTCCTTTCCCCTTTTTCAGTTTTTTTTCTTAATGACCCCTCAACATGTTCAGTATCCTCAGTCCTCATAGGGTCCATATTATGGCTTTTAGAGAGCCAGTTTGGTGTAGTAGTTAAGGTGCTGGCCTAGAAACCAGGAGTCTCTGAGTTCTAGGTCTGCCTTATGTATGAAAGCCATCTGGGTCACTTTGGGCCAGTCACTCTCTCTCAGCCCAACCCACCTCATAGGGCTGTTGTTGTGGGGAAAATAGGAGGCATGAATGTTAGCTATGTTTGCCACCTTGAGGGTTCATATCGCCCATATTCTCCATGGATCTTTTCTTGCTTCCATTTCTATTGTTTTCTCAGTCACTATTAGAATTAATGATAAACACTTCCTAGAATAGATGAGAGTGGGAAATTCCAAATAAGAACAGCCAGTGGGGGAAAGGGGGAATGTTTAACTCAAACTACACATTAATCCTGATCTGAATCAGAATGCCATGGCCTTACTCTGTTTTAGGAGTGGGAGGATTGGATTTGATCAAAGAGCCAGATCTACCTTCCCCCCTCACTTGACTGGCTGGATGACAATCAGGGGCAAGATTCAGTGTCCAGGCTCCTGACATTAAAAGTTTTCTAATGGAAGAACTGTTTTTCCCATGTTCCCTTCCATGTAGATAACCATTTTGTCTGGTGATTGCCTTCCTAGTATAGGAAGGGAATATACTGGCTGCATCAGTCTGGTCTTTAAGATGGAAAGGCAGGATGTGAGCAAAGCAGGACAGTAGTGTTTGTAGGAATTTGGAAGAGGAAGGAGTCTTGTTGGGCTGATAGGTCTAAGGTACATTCATCCATGTTGCAATGTAAACAAAAAGCAGAGGATTGGGTACATTGCTTGCCACAACACACAGTTTCCTAAGACTTTCTGTTGCAGAATGTCAGCAGAATGTGTAGAGGGGTACAAAAACAGTAAAGAGGCTGTGCATGAAGGACCCAAACAGGCTTACTTCTGACCCCTCACCCTTTATATGAAGATAATCACAGGGAGCATAGAAGACATTAATAAACCTCTTGAAATGTACACAGGCAAAGATGGACCAGGTGGCTAGTTGCCTTAGTTCATTGCTGCAGGTGTGAAGGCATAATATGTTCAAGGCGCTGTCATCCAATTCACAGTGGCAGCACACACTGATTTAATACAGCATGTTGATGATTCATCGATTTACATGTTTGCAAACATAAACACACAATTCGGTAACTGGACCTGTAATGCAATAGAAATAATTTTGAACAGAAACTTGAGTAGGAAAGAGGCTTGATTATATCTATTTCCCAACAGTGGACATTCCTCTGGTTATGATAGTCGCTCTGCTCGTGCATTTCCGTATGGTGGCGGTAAGTTTCTTCACTACTTGAAAATGTGACTTGGCTTGCTATATTTTCATATCATCCAAAGTTTCTTATTTTCTGTAGAAAAATTAATAACTTAATATAGTGTTGGTTTCCTGAATTTAACTTGCTATGTGTAGCATCTTTCATTTGTCAAGCATGCATTGGTAGATGCCAATTTCCAGTACAAGACATTGTCTTCCTCCTAATGTGGTGGCCCCACTATTGAATAGTGTCTGACCGTGCAGATTCTCAATCCATGTATAAGCACAAGTCTTTTAAATGTCCTCCCACTCTTGCATGTTTGAGTGGGTCTTGCCCTTTTGTTCTCCTTTTCAAACAAGGTATTATGGTTGGTCTTAAATGCTGGCTGGAAGTGAACTCTTGGCAACTGAACTTTTCCAGAAGTCAACTGGAATGGTACAAAGTTATCCTTACTAGTTTGAGTGTAATTATAGCATGTACCACAGTTGGTTACAAATATTTTTTTTTTTCTGAAATAATATTTCCATATTGCAAGAAGAGTTAGTATTCCAAAAATATTCTTGCAAGTTTTTAAATTAGCATTTTAAACATATTGTGAATATTGTTTCAGATCTGCCAATCACAAATTTCATGTAAACTTTCAAAGTAAGTTTCAAAGAACATGGATTTGAAAATGGTGTTATATCCATGTTAGTGTTTAAATAGTTTTTTTTCCAGATTCTTTTTATTCATATTTTTTGCATAAGGTGGGACTGTAAAAAAACAAAAAGCAAACCTTTCATCGTAGGGTGATGCTACTTTAATTCTTGTGATGATTTAAATTTAGAAGGGAAGATGGCCAAAGGGAGGCTTGATTTTTAATACTGTTCTGCTAGAGGACTTATCTTTGATGTATAAGTTTGCCTACTGGCTCCTGTGCAATTGTAATTCCTAAAATCCTTAAAACATTTATTAATTTGGTTAAACCTTCCTACGAGTGAATAGTTAAATTAGTCAAAGCAAGATTTTAATGGCTTTGAGACTGCCATTAACAAGAGTTTAGATTTAGCACATCTGACAGTAACTAAGCAAAACCTACTACTAGTGCATTTTTTTAAAGTTCTCAGTGGATCTGATTCATTGTGGATGGCCTGTTAGGAAGGCAACATTATAGTGTATCTATTTCAACATGTTTAACTGCAGGTTGTTTTGGGAATATCTTTTCAATCTTTTTTTGTAGCCATAGCAGAAAATTCACCATATGACACATTACTGAAAATAGTACAAACATAATGTGGATGACTAATAAATAGGCTTAAAAATTCTTTACTCAATAATCTCTTACCACAATCTGTATATGTTTTTAAATTTAAGATATAAGCTGCTCTGACTTTAAAAGCTAAACTGTTATACCTAAATAAACTCAGTGCAGGGAGTGCTGAGGCCAGCCATAGGATAACATTGATAATACTCTTCTCCCATTAGCCAAAATATCCATGTAGTTATTAACTTGCCATAAAGTCAGTGTCACCTCTAAATGACCTCCTGGATAGTTTATGTCTAGAGAATGTAGATATAGCAATGTGGTAATGAAAATGAAGGTGAAATGCCTTAAATTAAAAGTCTGTATCAGAAAGAAAACATAACCTAGTTTTTAAGTGAGGAGTACATGGATTTTAGGTTTTATATTTTCCAGTGAATGCGAAGAACAATTGTTCTATGTGGAAGAACAAAATGCCCTTGAGGCAAGATTGTAGCATAGCCTGACCTAGAATCTTTTTGAAAGGATAATGGTCTGCTTAAATTGCATTCTTCTTCATGAGAGGGATACTACAAATAAATAATGGCATATTCACTATAATTCTTTAGCTTGCATAATTCAACGTAATCTGTTCTTGACAAGATACTTGGGAAGAGTAGAATGTAAATTATAGTATACTGTAGATTGCCGCCCTACATTATTGGCAATTGGCTTTTGACAAAAGAAATTTATAACTTACCTCATCTGGAGTAGAAAGAGCCTGTTCAATGTGCTAGTCAAGCAGTTTCATTCTTCGCTTTCCTCTGTACCACCTTTTTCATAGGGGAGACTCTACAAGGCTTGGGGATTCAGAATATATAATGCACCCTAGAGCAGCAAACTCTAATCTTGTGGATTTAACTTGAGGCATGTAACTAAAATGCTAGCTCATTACTAATCTGATAAGAGTTGCTAGAATAAAAATAGAACCAGATGGTTACCAATCTGATTATAACATAAGAAGACATGCAGGATTTGCATATCTAAGGGCCGTGAACATATCTACATTTTAAAATTTTATTTTGTTACTCCATTCTCTTTTTGGATTATTGAGAGAAGAATTCAGAATTGTTACCTTGAGCAGTCTGATTCAGTACCATTTAGTACAAAGTTCTGTAATATACATTTTATGAATTGATGTCTTTTTTAATAATAGAAGAATCTGAGGATATTCTGAGTAATACAAAGCTATCTATTCCTTGAACTTCTCTCAGAATTAGCTTTTTTTTAAAAAAAAATTATTCTCCTCTTTAAACCTAATGTTTTTTTTCCCCGCTTGTGGTTAATAGTGGTAAGACTGAGATTAAAAAAAAAAAGAGTATTCTTGCAATTCTTATTTTATACATCATCAGTATTTTTTTTAAAGTTTTGTTGTTATAGGCAAATTACTTAATGCCTTTTCATAACATGTTTCAGATGCAATTCTTGAATGTAACTCCCATCAAAATCCCCAGTGTAGATCCCCCCCCACCTTTTCTATTAAACATAGTTCTTTTAGGGCATTATGATTTCATTCTAAGTTCAGTACTTGTGAACCTCCCCAGATTCCTGAGATAGCATTAGAAAGAATCCTTTATTGGTGCGGTCCTATTTGGTAATAATGAAAGCCTATGCTTCTAATTGAATAACAAGAATTGCACTCTAAGCAATTTAAAGTTCCTGGTGTTCAGAAATTCCTGTCCTTCAAACAGAAGAAACAAGTGGTTTGCTCCTTTCCTTGTCTTGGTTTAACTGTTGTCCTGTTCACTTTTTCTGAGAAAGTTCAGTAGTTTTTAATTAAAGGCTTTGTCCTAAACACATTGGTCAGGACGATTATCTGTGTGCATTTTTATGAGTGTGGCTGCTAAAGTCAAATAGTAAAAAGAAATCCAAATGCCTTTATTATATACAACTTCTGGACACCTCAGAATCATGCCATTTAGAAGTAAGTTCATTGATCTCCATTTTAGATTATAAGACTGGGATTTGCTTTCAGGTAAACTTGGTGTTGTAAACATATTGTAGTATTTGGTACAATTTCAGTCAACAATTTGAGAAGTTTTATAATGCAAATAATTTCTCTGACCCAATATCGATGTCAGTTGAGCAGTGATCTACAGCAATTTAGAGCATCAGGCAGCATCCAGAAACGCCTCTGTGCACATAGAAAGAATGTCCGTTGTGGGTAGGCTGCATCTGCTTCGGTAGGATATGTATCCTTGCTTGGGTATATTTTGCCTTTTGCAGTAATGCATATTTTGCCACAAACTCTTGATAATAGGAATTATTTTGTCTTCTAAAAGCAAAATCACTTTTTTCTTCTTAACAATAAGGCCAAAATTAACAAATGTGATGTAATTACTTTTGAAGTAACTTTTATGCATATACATACATTATGCATATACATACATTTTCAGAACCTAGAGACTAGAACCTCTCTTTATTAGTGTGTTGTTTGGGTTTTAAATGTTCAGGGCCCAGTGAATTGGTTTGAGTGAGTAGAGAATGAAAAAACTTTTATTCCAAGCTGAGAGCAAAACAACTTGGAATATTTTGAATAATATTCTGTTGTTATTATCTGTTCTCCTGTTCTGGCAGGAGAAACTAAAAAAAAAATGTTTCCAGTTTCTTCCTTAGGGCACAGTGAGAAATCAAAATAAGTATCTGCTTTTTGTCCTAAAACCAGACATTTAGGTGAGATTATCATTCGTGTTGAGTGCTCCCCACCACTGTTCCTACAGAAAAACTGGTCAAGGAATATTTAAAAAAAAAAAAAAAGCCTTTTCAAAGTTCCCATAGCAGATAATGGAAGGAACAGATGAGCATCTTTTTTTGGAGCCTCTTTGCACAGTCAGCCTCAGCTGCATTCAGTTACAAAAGAGCAGCAATAGATTCACTTTAAAACAGGCCATGAGCAACAATAAAATTAACACCCCTCGAATCCTTGGCTTCAGACTTGTTTGAAATGCACCCTTTTTCTATTATGCAGCCTACTTAGTGGTTTGGGGTGGGGTGGGGGGCTCACTTAGAGAACCTGGCGACAGTGAAACTATATTGCAGTCTGGGAATTACAGCTATTCCATGCCAAAGTTTTTAAATCCAGCAATAAACTTGTTTGCCAGGCAGACGGCAGTTGTCTTATTTTCAAAATGGCTCTCTCATTAAATGTGTTCTTAATTGACTCTCCCTCATCCTTGCCTACCATCTCCCCTCAGCCAGCTCCAATAATGGAGCAGAAGTGGACGCTGTGCCTGGCATTTTATGGGCTACAGGATTCTCCCAGTCTCCCTGCCTAGCCAACAAATGCTAATTGCTAGAAACAACATGAAATAAAACTTTCATTTCATTTCAAAACAAAATTTTGTCCTGGGCTTGAGTCGAAACTCAAGAATATAAGATGCTTTGTTTTTAGCTCAGAACACTTTAAACACATCTGCCAAACTTGGAATGTTTTGCAGGCATCTGAGGCTCTCTGTTTTTATCCTTTTAAAGTCCAGAGTAACAATTTAAAGGGAGGTCAATAAGTACTGCTGCAATTACAGAAGAATACAAACATGAATTTTAAATAAAATACCATAAAATAATGGAACCACTATCGTACTGAGACTACTTTGGAAATTGCTACTGGATGTGGAATTCACAACTGGGAAAGGGAAGCAATTAATTTATAAGTTTTATTCAAACCATCATTCAGAGTGGGTTTTACAGTTGATATTACATCCTAGGCTTCAGCTAAATTTATAAAATAGGGAATAATCCCAGTGTGATTCTTTTTACTCTTTTCAAATGTTTCAACCTTTTTTGTTTTCTAATACTGGAATTTTTTTCTTTAGTCACCTTTCCGCACCTTACAGGTTCTGCCCCATCATGGACTAGTCTCATGGACACAAGCAAACAGTGGGATTATTATTCCAGAAGAGATAAAGATCGAGAGCGTGAAAGAGATCGAGACCGAGAAAGGGATCGAGATCGTGACAGAGAGCGTGAGAGGACCCGAGATAGAGAGCGTGAACGGGATCACAGTCCAACTACAAGTGTGTTCAATAGGTGGGTATCGGGGCTGAATCCAAGGCTTTGCTGTGAGTGTTCAGGGTCTGCTTAAGAAATGTATTTCAAACTTCACATGCAGCTGTATATTCTTAGGGGCAAGGGTTGGGTTTTGTTTTGTTTTCTTGCTGAAAGCCCAGCCAGCTAATTCAAATTCAAACCAGAAGTGCAAAAATAAATAGTACACACAAAAGACTCAAAACTTTGTTAAGATGGCAAATTTTGTTAAGTCACAGAAAGGAGTAGAATCTCTTTTTAAAAATATTCATACAGAGGCCTTTTTTCTAATTTGTAAAGAAATTCATGCTATTTTTAATCATTCTCTTCTTTCTTCAGCTTCAAAATGCAATATGCATTAAGTGTAAAATTGAGTTTTAAATATATTACCATAATGTTCGTTCTTTATAGAGGCTTTGTGCTAATGTTCTGTACTTTGTATGTTTTGTGTTACAAATTATAGGGTCAGTGTCTTAGACATTAAGATCAATTTAACATCTGTTTCTTAGGCACCTTGACTGAAAGCACAAAAACTTCTGGTCATTCAAGGGTGCCCAAAATTAACCTTAATGATTTCCAGGCCTAGGGAAGATTCTGTGTTGCTGCCAGACTTATCAGAAAAGGAGGGAGAAGAAAGTTTTTCTTCTTTCTTTTTCTTTTTTTAATGTGACTAAATTATCTGACATCTGCAGCAAAGCTGCTGCCATATGACAGTGTGAAGAGCCAGGAAGCCCTTAGCCTAGTAAAACTATGATTCGTGGAATAATAGATAAAGTGGGAAGTTCTGGAGTCACAGATCATTCAGGCACGATAGTCTTGAACAAATATTATAAGTCTTCTAACAATTTTTCAGTGGCTTATGAAAATGCCTCTGACTGATTAAAAAATAAGTTTTGTGCCTACATGACTGACCATAAGCAGGTATTAAGCTTTTGCTCTGGTCCAACTCACCTCTGGTGACTTTGTGGGCTCATCATATAACTTTATTGGGAGGGCTACAGAAGTGGCTTGCCATTTCTGTATTGTGGGATATTTTTTTCCCAACTATTCAAATAACCTACAACCTGGGATTTCCTCTTGTCCGTCTGGCAACCAACCTGTTTCTCCTTAGTTTCTGAAGCCAGACAAGATCAGGGTCAAAGCTCACTTTGTGGTGTTTGCCTTAGTCTTACCTTGGAAAGAGGGCCAGGAGGCTTTTCTTTTACTCTGACTTCTGAAGGCCAAAACATCCAGACCTTTTTTGATTTGCAATAAATGGACTGAATCATTTTATAAACAGACTTCTGCACAGTAAGTATTAGTAAATAATTTGAACTACTCCACAGATACCAATATCAGAAGAATAAATATATCTATATTTATTAATAATACATTAAATATTTTGAGTTATCATTGTAAAGTTCATAATGAAGTAGTGATTCATTCCCTTTCGCTAGGGAAGCTGGCTGGAGAATTCTGGGAGTTGAAGTTGCTGAGATTGAGAAACACTGCTCTTGGGATAACTTTTATAGCCTTATGTTAATGTATAGAAAAACTTACTATTGAGCATTACTTTAAAAAAACACTTCTTGTCTTGTTATTTTTCATTGTTCAGTTAATGGCTTAACAGTACATTTGCTGAAACATTCAAGACTGCCCATAAATACTGTCCCTTTCATAAGTGTTGATTGATCAATCCTCTTCTCTTCAGTTGTATATTCATCCAGTAAAAGGATGTTGACATGCTCCTAATTAAATCTACAGTTGTTAATGCTGGAACATTGGCTTTTGCCATGAGCTTGATGGTGCCAGCTGTTACTGATACTTTGTGTTGTACCCTTATGGTATACGTTCCTGCTTGAGTCAGCCTTTCAGAATTATTCTTTGTTGAACGTAGAAAGCAGAAAAAAGATTCCCAACAATCATCTCTCTGTGCTTTAGGTGTATATGGGAGAAGCCAAGGGTTGCTAATGCTGCTTCAGTTTGACTTGTGCACTGGAGGAATGTTCTTTTCTTCTTAGTGATGAAGAACGATACAGATACAGAGAATATGCAGATAGAGGCTATGAACGACATAGGACAAGTCGAGAGAAAGAAGAGCGGCACCGAGAAAGGAGACATCGAGAAAAGGAAGAGACAAGACATAAATCTTCACGAAGGTCAGTTGCTTACCAAGCTATCAAGTGGTTTTTATGGGTTGTGCAACAGAAGTCTCAAATAAAAATGTTGGCTATCCTATAATATCTTTTCTTCCCCCACTTTCTGGTGAAAAATGGAGCCCAAAATAGAAAAATGTTTTTTCTATTCGAAGAATTCTGACCATGGGTGATAGTTAGAATCATTAAAGTTTTTAGATTGATCATCTGAACTTCTTAATGGAAAGTTCTGTTCATTTGTCTCAGGCCATTTAGAGCAGACACGATCCCTGGGCAATGATGGGATCCACTGTCCTTGGGGGAGAGGGAATGTTGGCTGCTCTTTGCAGCAGCATCCATTTATTGTTCATCTAAAAATCAGGTACCTTTATCTTTACCTCTCTGTGGAGAGAAAGGCAGATAAAGCCTTATTAATGTCCTTTGCTGACTTGCCAAGTGAAGCATCCTCACTTGCTTGCCTCCCTTTGCTATATCTATTTCCCCAGGAATAGGGGGGAGGTCAATGAGTAAAGTGTTTCTTCTAATTGCCCCATAATTCTTGGTTTTAGGGTGGAAGAAGGTTTGCTGTTGCTATCTGACAGCAAGATCATGTGAGGACTATTTAGACAATAATAGTGGCAAAAACCCAGTGTCAAACAGTTAGCCAATAATACTAGTTAAGAAAGGAAACTAAAAGCCTGGATTGAAATTGTTCTTAGTTACTCTATAGCCAGACTGAAGAACCTGAGACCCCAAAGCCATAGGCAGTTCCTGCCTGGGCACAGCTCCAGAAAGTTTCCAAATGTTGCTTCCAAACTGTCATTTTGAATGCAGTAGAAATATTGAATGCATGCGGGGAAATTGTATGAACTCTAATTGCTTAATTCAATTGCCAAATCTTGCCCACTTTTTCACCTTTGCCTTGTCCAATTTTGGCACAGGTTTTACAGCTGGTCAAGAGAACTAGAGCAGTCTGTGCTTTATTGTGGCTCTGTGAAAAACTCACAGATTCCTGTTCTGTCAAGAACGTTCCCTATTGAAGGCCTATGACAAAATAACAGATTTGTTTTAAAAATGAAAAAGAAAAATCCCAAGAATTTCTCAGGAACTTGGCTGTAAAACTCAAAAGATTTTTTTCATTTTACACAGTCTATCTGTGTAAATGAAAATCTTGCTAAAACTGTTACTTCTCGTTTGTAGAAAAATTCTGGCCTCTTCATTGCAGGCATGTATTTAATTTTCAGTACAGTTATTGGTATCAAACGACTGCCAGTCTCTGCTCAAAATAAACAGTGGCAGGTGAAAATCCCAGGGAAGCTTAATATCAGCAGAGTTTTTTCTTCAGTTCCTTTCTGATTTTGATTTGCCCATGGTGAGGGAGGCTTGTAGCTGACATCATTGCATAGATTAAATGGTTGGTTTTATAACATGAACAGCTTGAAAAGCAGGGTGGTGGCACTCAGTTTGAGACTCCATTAAATCCTTTTGTCTCTGTTTTTTTTTCTCCCCTCTTTCCCTCCCTAGTAACAGCAGGCGTCGCCATGATAGTGAAGAGGGAGACAGCCACAGGAGGCATAAACATAAAAAGTCAAAAAAGAGCAAAGAAGGAAAAGAAACAGGTGGCGGTGAACCTGCCCCTGAACAGGAAAACACTGAAGCTGCCCCTGCAGAATAGGCATGTGATATTTTTGCCTACTTGCTTATATTAATGCCAGAAATAGATTGCTCTAAATCTAATTATTTTTCTGGGTCTTAAAATATTGCTCTTAATCTTGTTCTGTTAGTAGAAAAGCATACATTTAATTTGGATTTTTGAAAATAAAGAGAGTGAATTTTTTCATGTTAAAGCAGATTGTTTTGTCTTATCTGTGCCATTGGAACAGTGAAGAAATTACAGAAAGTTGTGCTTGGTTACTGAGATCCCTTGCATTTAATCCAAGATCATCAAAGAGGAAAATGCAGAACTAATACAAAGGCTTCCCATATAAAATAATTATTTCACACGTTGCAGTTATTCCGGGCACTCAACAGTCAGTTCTCTGAAGGATGAATTTTGTTTAGCCCTTCAGATAAATAAATGTATATAGTTTCTTATTTAAAAGGCAGAGTTCCATATGACAAACTTGCTTTTCCTTTGCTTATACAATAACTATAATAAAAATTAGCATATCTTGGCTAGTATTCTTTAGTGTGTCAATAGCATCCAGATGTGATGCTCTCCTGTGTTAGATCAGACTGGCCTTTTTGTTGGTAGTTCAGTGCAGATAAATCAGGCAGTTTCTTGCTTTATTCTTTGCTTATCCAGGTGAGTTACTGCACCTTATTCTTGTTGTTAGGATGCTGATTTATAAGAGCCCAACACAGAATGGAAGGATGAAAACTGAGTAAAACAGAACACTCAAATGAAATGGTTGATTCCATGAAGTAGAAAGTTTCATGCAAATGAGTATTTTTGTCCTTTTTTAATTAAATTAATCTGGCTTTACAAATTACAATTAATTGAATAGTAGAAATAAAATACACAATTATAATATATTAGGAAGAAAACTTTAAAAAAACTGTCTTTTACTGAGCACAAAAAGGAATTTAATAGATTCATCAGACAGCCTTCTATGTCTTGCATAGATGCTGTCATTGTAATCATTAGAAAAGTATTATATCACTTCAAGGATTTTGAAACCACTTTCAAATTAGGTAAAGTCATTTCCTTCTTTATATAAAGGGCAGGTGAAACATAGATATAAAAATACAAACATGAAACATAATGCAGTAAGTTGTGTACCTTGATTTACATCAGTAGCTTTCCATAGTTGAAGAGAGCATGTTTTTCTCAAACACATACCATGGGGCATTTTTAAGACTTCTGCTTATGTAATGCACATTTATACTTCACTACTTTTTTTTTAAACAAGTACACGGGAAGTGGCTGGGTGAGTGATGCATTTGCTTCCAGTTGAAATCCATCTTTATAAAAAGGTGCCAGGCCAAGATACAATGGTGAGAGTAAGTTTCCCCTTCAGTTCTTTTAGCATTCTTGCCAAACAGGCATGCACCATTCCTGAGATGTTCCTGCCATTCACTGCAAGGAGGATGTCACCACACCTGGTAGGGGAGCAGGGGGGGCAAATAAAGCTAGTTATAGATAATCTGCAATTCCACAACAGGAGTTTTCCTTGCCAATTCCTCAGAGAGGTTATAGAGTCAAAGGTCTAAAGAGGCACACATAATTGAGAATTCAAGGAAAGCCAGCTATAGAAGCAGGTGGCTTTTTTTATAATCCTGACACTTTTTTTTTTTGGATGTCTTGCACTTCAAGAGGCAAATAGAAAAGTAACACTCAGTTAACATAATTTGTCTGTCATATCTATTTAAGGATTAGGACATGCATTAGACTTCTTGTGTAATGTTTTAAATTACTTTCTCTAAAAATGCACCTGGGTAAGGATCCTACTTTCTTCTTAATACCACTTTATTTTGCAAACATTAGGAGTTCTGTATTGCCAAAGTTCTCATATTTATTAAGGAGCTTTTCTAATGGTATTTAATCAAAACTGATCACCTCAGGCTTGTACCAGAACTCAACTGTTACTTAAGAATCACTTCAGATGTTCTTTGTTGTGCTGCTATAAAATTGAACCTATTTTGATGCATAATCATTCCTTGAGGATCCTGTCCCTATGGAAGCTATTGGATAGGGTCAGTGTCCTCATCTTTAAGTCACTTTCGTTTCCATATAATTGGAAGCACTGTCACAGCATGATATTTTGAGGATGCTACTCAGCAGCATAAGATTGTTTGCTATGCCTAATTCACACATCACCTGGGTGAGTTAAACAGATTGTGGAAGATATGCCTGAACCTTAGACTCACACACTGCCATTCACTAGATGCAAAACTAGGTTGTGCGTATTTCATTTACAAACTGCCACATCTTCATATTCTTGGGAGTTCACAATTATAAAATACAACAACCTGTTCACAGTAAGGTAAAATTTAAATGAAAACCACCTAATGCACTTCTGACAATGTCATAGTTCTCCCCATAGCTTAACTAGCTTCTGGAAGTCTATTAACAATTGTGCTAATCCTGCTTTCAAGGGGAGGGACCATCACAGATAAAACAATGCCTCTGAGCCTCAGCCCCCTTTCACTTCCTGGAAATGGGACGCTACTTTTTTTTTTAGATTTTTTTTTATCCTGCCTTTATTATTTTTATAAATTCAAGACAGTGAAAATACCTAACGCTCCTTCCTCCTCCTATTTTCCCTACAACAACAAACCTGTGAGGTGGGTTGGGCTGAAAGAGAGGGACTGGGTTGAAGTCACCCATATGGCTTTCATGCCTAAGGTGGGACTAGAACTCACATCTGCTTTCTAGCCTGGAGCCTTTACCACTGCACCAAACTGGCTGTCTGCTTTGCTCCCAGATGCATGTATTCTCACTATGTGCCAGTGTAAACTATAAATTGTTGTACCTCTTGGGTTGGTAAAAATATGTTTTCCAGGAAACAAAGGCTCGGGTAGGCAGACTTATAGTAAAACGAGTCATTACAAAAAAATTTAACTGCTGTGTATAAAGTGTGAGTTCCTTTTATACTAAAATTAATGTTCATTTTCTTGTGCTTCTTTCTCTAGCCCTACATAAAGAGCTAGTATTGATTCTCTTTTGGGCAGGAGATGCAGTTTCCATCCATTCCTTGTTTGGTAACAGATTGTGTGGGAACTCACCTCTACAATCAAAGAAGGAGCTAGCTTCAGATCAGATCACAAATTTTGCAATGTATCAAATATGTTCATAGACTACTCCCTTCTTAGAAATGGTGCAGATGTTAAGGGAAGGATCCTTTGACTAGAAAAGCTCTAGATCCAATCCCTATAATTGGCAAGTACAAATGGGAAACATTTTTTGTTTGCAACCCTTGAAAATGGTTTTCGGCCTAACTCAGTGTTTCTCAATTTTAGCAACTTTAAGATGGGTGGAGTTCAACTCCCAGAATTCCCCAGCCAGTGTGCTGGCTGGGGAATTCTGGAAATCAAAGTCCACCCAGCTTAAAGTTGCCAAGGTTGAGAAACACTGGTGTAAACAGTACAGAGCAAGATGCATCAAGGGCCTAATGTGATTAAAGGCAGCTTCGTATGTATGATAAAATTTACTTTTTATCAGTATGTTTTTATTACCTCATTCTTCCATCATTATATGCTGGGGTCCCTTCGACAATGGATTTGATAAAGAATGGTTTGTTTCCACTGTTTTCTTCATAACCTCCCACTATACTGAAGCCAAGACTTCCTGCTGTGTTTCTTCGCAATACAATTTCTTTGCAGCTGTACAAAGACCTAGAAGAAAATGATTCCACTTATGTCATATTTTTACCTTAAAATTATAGATGTTTGCTACTTATATTTTGCTTACTTGCTTCTTAGCCATAGCAGATTTTAAATTATCTGTTTGGATGCCATGTGGATGGCATTGCACAATCAACGTGCAATCACATTCACATTTCTATTTTTTTCTTCAATACTAGCAGCACTGAGGGCTTTGCTTTTAAATTGGGAGGAATAATTTAAAAATGAAAACAACAGATTTTTGCTCTGTTCTTCTGCAGGATTTTTATAGTACTGCTAGATTAGGCCCTTGAGAACTACAAATATTCACCTGCTGGCAGAATATAAGATATAATGTTTGTGTAATAGCTAGCTGGCTCCTAATGTGAAAAGCAGGTGCCTGTTGGCTCTTCTTCATGGTTCTAGTTTTATTAGTTTACCATCTGTGTGGGACTTTTAGCATTCTGAATTCCATTTTTCATATAGTTGTAAATGCACCAGATTTAACAGTGCTTACCAAGGTCATGATCCAGTGTTGCCAGGATTTCTCTATTATTGATGGATATTATTAAGTTGCACACCTACTGCATGTGAAACAGGCTGTACCTGAACAGTTTCACAGTTACCATCATTGTATGTGTTAAAAAATACTGTATTTAATGTGCTCACGGTAATTCCTTAACAGATTTTAAGTAAATGCTTTTTGGCTGACAAGTAGTGCTCTTAGTCATATTGGCACTAGGAATTCACAAGGTTGCATATAATCCCAAGGTGTGTGTTTACTTTTAGTATTTTATTGTATTTTCTAAACAACAGTGCGTTTTAATTTATTAAAATTGGAAACTACCGAACATTTGATAGACGATTTGTGCATGATAATCTAACAATTCTAGAGGTTACAAGGAGGCCCACTCTTAAATGGTCTTGAGTCTTGGGGCTTAATGTTAAGAGAGAGAAGAACAAAGGACTGTGTTAATTAGACTTGTATGCCGCCAAACTATTCCAGACTCCCTGCTGCTTACAACAATAAAACAGTAAGAAAAAATTAAAAGTCCACAATAAAATATAAACAACGTGGAGCATTAAATACAGAGAACATCCTCCCCTCATCTCTAACTGCCCTCTGAAGAATTCAGCTTTAATCAACTTTGGGAAGGCAACAAAGCAAAGCAATGCTTCCTGGCCTCAGCCCTCTCCCACGTTACAAAAAAAGCAAGTTGGTGAGAGAGAGACAGATGTGTGCACGTGCAGCTTCTATGTTCTGTATAAATTGGTGAAAAGGAAGACCAGTAGACTCATGAGTCACTTCCATTGTGGCACTGGGTAATGAAAAGGGCACAAAACGCCACAGCATGGTCTTTCTGAAAACCTTTTAGATATTCCAGGAAAGTTGGAATGAATCAGAGCCATGAGACACCCAGAGCTTGGGTCAGTGCGCTCTGGAGATGACAAGAGTCCAGCTCTTTAAGGACTGGAACTTGCTTGGGCAATGGTTCTGTGCCTGCATGGCTTCAAGGCAGAAGACTAAACTGTTTCATTGAGATGGAATGTTTCAATTGGTCTTTAGTGAGTCATTATTAGATGTTCTTGTATTGTGTAAATGAAGTATTGCCTGTCCTCCCTCTAGCGTGGGTAAAATAAATGCTGCTACAAAACATTCTTGTCAGTGTTCATACTGGAGATTGTATTTTGCTTCACTGGATGCTGGGTGATGGAAATGGGTTTAGTAGGGAAAAGAATCACTTATTCAGAAAAGGATAAGGCAGGTATTTATAAATAGCTCCTGTACTGTTACAGGAAGAATACATCATTTGATAGATGTTAACACCAAAGCAATGCTGTTTTATTACTAACGTGAGTTCCTTTCATTTTGATAATTTTGTTTAATTTATAATGTTATAATGAACATGGGAGGTGTTAATGTTTCCCCCCTCCCCCATTGCTCCCCTGGGAAAAGCTGTGTTTGGAAGGGGCAAATTGAAATAAATACCATCTAGCAAATGTATGAAGTATGCTGAGCAGCTCTAGCGGTTGCTCTCAATCATTAGCTCCAGCCTAATGGCAGATGGATCAGAATAGCATGAGAAATTGTCAGTGCGATTCTTTAGAACATCTTCTCTCTTTTACAGTTCTTCAGTGGTGGTGCAGCCTTGAATTTGCATTAAGAAATGCCATTTCTGTTACTGACTTTCAGCTGATTGTATATAAAATTCCAATGATATTGCTGCTCCCCCAAACGTAGATGCTTTCTCACTCTAGCTACAGGAGAAGCAACAGGGGTCTTACCTTTTTCTTCTAAATTGCCTTCTCCATCCCCTGTCCCCTCTGTTGCAAGTCTTGCTTTTTTGCATTGATTTGTTAAGTGTTCTTACGAACTGTTCACTGTTTTTGAAGGTGGCTTTGGAAAGACAATCAACCCCATGTTAAATAATTCACAAAAGATTTCCAGCCTGAAATATACACTTAATAAGATCCTTATTTCTCCCAAGACAGTTTAATAGCGAGAGAAAAAAGAAAATATCCTTGAGGCCTATCTAACCCTTCTTCAGGTTTGACTGGACAGTTAGTTGCCCTTCCTAGCACCAAATGGGAACTCTGGTCCTAAGAGGTTACATTCTTAGACGAAGGGGAAATGAGTTAATGTGTATTAATGTGATGCATATTCTGGTGAAAGGACCTGCTTAAAGGGCTTCCAGATGTGGCACGCAAAGCTCAGAAAGGCAAGAATGGAAAAATAAGGCGGTGAATACAACACATGAGGCAAGATTGAAGTATGTGATAATCTGTTTTGTTGAGCAAGTAAATCCAAATACTGAATTCTAAGTGCCTAGCCAAACAAGCAAGTACTAATAAGAAATACACCTCTGTTCCTCTCAATTATAATTAGCTTTTGCCTCTTTCCCCTTTAATCTGAATTTTTGAAGACCAACATACTAGTTCAGCATACTAATTCCCTTTGGTTTTCATATTCACTGTGGTCCCTTTCTGTGAGTGGTGCTGCAGCTGGAGATATGATTACAATGAATTTCCTGTTTCCAAACCTGCTGACATGGTGGGTAATTTTCCTTCAGTAAAAGAGGCCATAGAGAGAGGGGAAGGATGGAGAAACCAGTCCATGTATAGTTTGGCATGGGAAGAAGGAGCCCAAGTAAAATTTGCTGCTAATTTAAGAGAGCAAAATCTTTCTTTGAGGATACAGGACTTAAAGCACCCTGTTTCCAAATTCTGTGCAAAATAACAATAAGCCAGGCAGAGGTTGCCCTCTTTTGAACAATTCAGTAGGTAAAACTTTTCACACCCCAATAAGACAGGAATAATGAAAGTGATTTTGCCATACTATTGCTGAATACCATGCAACTGTTAAAATTCCCCAGAAAGCAATATGGCAGTGTTGTTTCTTTATTATAAGATAGCAGATAGAGAATATTCTAACTGAGCATTACCACATTTCCTGTCTGAAGGACGGATGCTAAGGACATTTTTGTTATAATTTTAAGCCAGCATTTAAACCGTTTAATCTGATTCTTGCTGACCTCACTTTTTCTCTGGTGTCCCATAACATGTACACTCATCTCTCTGAACCTGTGAAGCTATTGTTGAGCTATAGTTTCCAGCAACTTCAGTCATTGACTAAAGGGAAGCTTGCTAATAATTAAAAGGCCACGGGTTCTCCATTTGTGCTGTACACCATTATAGGCCTCTCTGGACTCGTGTGTTAACATTGCTTCCTGTGCTGCTCTCTTTTCTCTCTGATCCTTCTATTCAATACTCCTTCTTTAGTATCTACAGAATCTACAATCTCTTAAGTCTCCTCTGAATTGACCCCAGCTTCTGCTGACTTCATGGACATGTTCATATAGTTTCTCAGGCCTGACTCCACTTACAATCTTCATTGTTTCTTTTTTTCTCTCCGTACCCTTTGCCTTCTTGTTCATATTTTTTTCCTTTCCCATCTCCAAATCTCCCTTTACAATTCTTTTATTTACTCACTTTTCCTTCTTTTAATTTTTGTTTCTGTATTTCCTCAATTCTGCCCAGTCCATTTTAATTCTCAGCACTAGTGTAGACCTCTCACCTATAAGCGAGTAATTTAGCAGGGAGTAATGTAAATTCTATCCATACTTCAGGTTGATACGCTTCGTAAAGAAGCAAGGAATGTCTGTAAAACTCTAAAACTCCTTATCTATAAATAAGGGGAAGCCTGAAATCAGTCATAGGCATTATATCACTGGAGATCTACTCCAATGTATCACAATCATCTCATCAAAATATACATTTCACAATTGTAACTATTTTCAAATGTTCTTTATCAACTACATATATACCATAGAATTGTAGAATGGCTTTGATGAAGTATTGGAGAGTAAACAGTTATTGCAAAATATAAGCAAACCCTTCATTTTGGAGAAGCAGACCTATGCTGAATCAGATCAAGAGCTGATCTACCATTTTTTGCTTATATTCGGGCCTACATAGAAGCCCCAAAACAGAAGACGTGTGCTACTGAATCCTCCTATTTTATCCTGAGCAACAAGGATTAAATAAAATATGTGCAGTGTGAGAAATAATTTACAGTTATCATGCTACTATAGATAAAGACACTGAGAACTTTATCTTCCATGAGTTTCCTTGCTTTTAAAACAAATTAGGCTCCCTGAGGTGAATTGGAGATTCACCTAGGCAGGACACACTAACCAAACCTTGCAATTTCTCACAAAGAACAACAACCTTTTCTTTCTTTTTCTTTCTCTGCCTATTTACCAATTCTGGTGTTTTTTGAGGAATACCTGAAAAATTTCTGAGGAGATGCAGTGTTCCCAGAAAATGGCTTGAAAAATAACCCTTGCATACATACAACTGGGAAAAAAAACCCATAACAAACACTTACTTTCCAGTCCACAAGACTTAGTATAATCTTATGATAAGATTATACTAAAATACAAATTTTAGTTTGTACTTAGATAAATACTAATAAGACTGGATAAAACAAAAGGATTGTGGGCAAATCTGTTCAAGAGAGTCTTATATAACTGATTTTCCTTATTTTATGGGCTGCTGAAGTTCAGCCTGAGGGTAAATTTAATAGTGTGTCATCCTGGCAGTGTCTCATTTTGAAAATTCAGGTTGAGACAAATGTTGCAATGAGGCAGAAATCATATCCTAAGACGACATTTAAATGCATTATGTGAGTGGGTGACAAACTATGTACTTTGTGGTTTTGTTTTATTTGGGTTTTTTCTTTCTTCCTACAAAAACATACAACACAGCTGCTTCTAGCCCATTAGAACAATTTTTAAGACTAGCTGAGGGTGAAGGGGAAAGCAGTTTGGATAATTTCACCACCACTGTGTGCAGAGTTTTTGAACATCTGGGCGAAGACAAACAATTTAAAACAACATAGAACTAAAATGGTGCCTGTGAAATCTGCAAGCTGTATGGATTGTTTGTGAGGCTCCAGGTGGTCCAGATTCTAAAGCCAGGTATTCATGCAGGATTTTCCTTACTAATGTAAGGGTTAGGCACATTAAAAAGAAACAAAAGGGGGGGGGCTGTTCAGGATCTTCTTGCTCCCTTAAACCAGATCAGTATGTCCTTTCTCCATATATATCTATAGCTACTACAGATGGAGCATGGGGAAAAGAGAAGAGATTTGAAAGAGCCTGGATTTAATTAAAATATCTGTGCATTACACCAAGCTGAGCAAGTCATGTACGTTTCATAAACCATTCTTCCCAGTTCCTTTCAGGACCCTTTGCTTGCACTCACCTCGGTAATTCAAGCCACATCACCCAGGAGGGAGACCACTCACTCTGACTGGATGGGTTCAAATTGGCATCACGCAATAGATCCCCATTTTCTCCTTCCATGGTCTCACATGCTTTCAGTTCTAGTGCTTTGAACACAACTGATGAGCAGACATTTTTCAAATGGGCTACTGCCTCTTCACGGCTGACACCTGTCAGATCAATTCCATTCACGCTGATCAGAATATCTCCTAGTGGACATGGAAAACAAAATAGTGGAACAGTTTTTGATTCACAACTATGATCACTACTTCAAGAGTGACCGACTCAGGCTGTTTATGAATTGGATATGACTGACCACTGCTCTCAGATACATTTTTGATGGAGAGATCCTAGTCCCACATATTAAAACTACATTTTTGGGGAGAGGGGGTTGTATGTACTCTGCCCTGAAGCCCATTTTTAGAAGAACTCTGCCACCAGGAAGCTTTAGGTCTTTTAGTTGCATTATCAGAGCAACTGATAGGTGCCTATGGATCTATGCTTAGTTTCCAGTTAGTCATAAACTTAGTTTTGGACATCTTGTTAATTCTGGGCTTCAGTCAACCATCTATAAAATGAAAATCAATTGTTTTGGGCAAAGGAGATTTACATGCTGTCTGGAATTAATGACAATACATCTGTTGCCCTGTGAATATTGCAACAGAATGTGTGTGAGGGTGCATGCAGATGTACGTGTGAAAAAAATGAAAAATTAAGTAGTTGTGAACTTCACTGGTTTGCCTGTTCTGGTGCCTTTTTGAATAATACTATAATCTATTGTTAGTACTATCATGACTAATTCTAGGTTGATATGCTCTTGGAAACTGCTAACTTCCAAATGCCAACTAATCCACAAACAAAACATTATGTTTGAAAAATTCAAATACATAAAGCTAAGCTGTCTAGTATTTTCAATAACCTCCATATGCTGTCACTGGCAATAATTAAACAGAAAATCAAAAAGAACTTTATGGTTGGTGTCCTATATCCATTAAATAAGTAGTTGACTATTAATTATTTATCTTATTTATATGGCTTTACTGTATATATTTAAGGAGTCTAACGCTGAATAGACAATCCTGTCCTAACATATGTAAAACTACAAATATGAGCTAATTGGTGTATAATCATACATCTTCCAATGTATTTGGGATGAGAGAAAGGCCAACATCTTTTAGTGGGTATTCAAATATTTTAATTATCAAGTTGTTAATCATATTTAATTATGGTTTAAGGATGAATATGCCATAGTATCCACAATCCTGCACTGAAAAATGATATGCATATATGTGAGAGAATGAGATATTTTGCATGTTAAAGCCCCCATTTTGTAAACGCGGCTAATTCATAACAAGCTATCATGAGAATGATATATAAAGCTAACTTTTGTGAGCATTGTAAACAAGTTTGAAAGTGGGGAGAACCCTGGAAAAAAGTGCCAAGTTTTTACAGATACTTGTGACATCTGGAACAAATTATAAGGTAATGTCTTCTCTGTTTTCAATTTATCTTAAGCCATTTTAGATGGCCACTCCCACTTGGGGATAGGTAATGTTGGAGCTGGGTAACATATGTAGACATCAGTGTAAAAAATAAAGCTAAAAAGCTGACAGAAAAATTATGTTTAATAGCAGAATGTATGCATATTCAACATTAAATTTCATTGAGTTTGATGGAGCTGCTTCTCAGTTAAAAGCACAGTGTATGGTAATTTTTTATAGCTGCTATTTGAGGTAAGATTGGGTTGAGAGATAGTGAGTGACCACTTAGTACCCAATTAGTTTTACAGTAGAATGGGGATTTGAAAAAGTGTCTCCATAGACCTAATCCAAAACTCTAATCACTATACACACAGTGACTCATTTTTTCCCCAGCTTTTGACTTCCCTTTTTTTATGGGAAAAATCTGGAGCATTAGGGAAATAAAATCCTCATTGAACAGAATGCCATGAAGCTATGTTAGAAGTGGATGGGAGTGAGTGAAGACTGGTGTTTCAGGAGCCTTATTTCTAATAAATCAGGAAACATCTCCATTTTCCTTGGGCCACATCTGGTTGTTATCAGTTTTAGTCAAATAAGACCTTGTTTGCCCATGCCAGTAAATGTAGGAGGTGGATCATAGTGCTGACTCTGCAGTCTTTCAAACAATAAACGCATTTCCTTATTAGTCCCCATCTGAGAAACAGGATTCTTTCAAGCCGCCACTATATGATATGAGATAAATCTATGAATCGTCGTTTCCTCAGTCCAGATAATGAATTCAGGTTAGGGTTCTTTAAAATTGTCCATTTGCCATCACACAGGGAGATTTATAGTGGTTGCTATTTCAATCTAAAAAGTTATTTATTTTATGAAGAGTTAATGAACTCTATTGCATTTTAAAGTAAATGTGGTCCCTGCCCCCCATCCTTTCAAACAGAACATTAAAAAGCCCTATAAGCCTGCCAAATGTCTGGAGATAGCAGCCTTATGCCATATTATACTCTTGGTAGCATTTCAAAATATATATTTTTTAATTTATTGTTGGGCTTCTCTGAGTTGTAACAGTATTAATAACATTTCTTTAACTAAACTAAGCAGAAGGGAAGAAGAATGAACATCTGTATTTAGTGCCCCTTAAATGTAGAAATTCCAAAGAATCATAATTATTTGTTCTTATTCGTACTTTTACAGGTTTATAGCCACCCAGAGTCATAACAGATTAGGGTGGCCTAGAAATATAATAAATAAATAGATAAATATACATCTATCATTTTCCAAAAATTAAGTCTTAAAATGATGGGAAACATAGCAGATGGGGAAACCTCAGACTATTACCATTTTCCCCAATAATCTATGAAAATGTATATTCAACCTCAGTGTTGTAATGACTTTGTTCAGTGTATTTTGGATTTTATTATTTTTGATATGTAAAATTTTATTGTAAATCAACTAGAGAACACTGCTATTAGGTTAGCATGGTTCTCATCATTACAAATTATTCCCCTACTTTCTCTCATCCATATCAACAGTCATCCTATGTTAGCAGAAACATTGAAAGATGTGTTCAATTGAGGTAGAGTACATGACAATATCCTAGAGCAATGAGTTTATCGGTGAGTAGGTTGGCTGGTTGGCTGGTTGGTTGGTTCATTCACTCATTCATTCATTTAAGAACAGTAGACTCCTCAAGGAATCTTAATCAGAGTGATGCTGTCCAGCCCCTTAGTTATTTTCAGTCATCTATCCCAAGCATTGTTGTTGTTTAGTCGTTAAGTCGTGTCCGACTCTTCGTGACCCCATGAACCATATTGCGCCAGGCCTTCCTGTCCTTCACTGCCTCCCTGAGTTTGCTCAGTTTCATGCTCATTGCTTCAGTGATGCTACAGTATCTAACCATCTCATCCTCTGCCGTCCTCTTCTCCTTTTGCCTTCAATATCCCAAGCATTAATGGGCATTTATTATAGTTGACATTTTATGTTCTCCCCTTGACATTTTTAGTGGGTAGATACCATAATATCCCAGGCCCCTAGAATTCCCATGTAAATCAGGAGACACTGAGCCAATTGCATACATTCTTCTGCTTGGTAAATTTTATTCTAATTCTCAGCAAAGGCTAATCTAGCCTTTATTTAAAAAAAATTCCCAGGGCACCAATTTTACATTCAGTATTAGTTAGCAGACAGAGAGAATCCTAATGTTATATATTTTGTTGTAAAAGGACAAACTTTAGGACAAGATTTTAAAACTATCTTTATCAGTATCTTCAAGTATCTTAAGTTTTTCTTAAATATATTGTTTAACTATTATATTTTATCTATTCATCTGTGTTTTATACTGATTGTATTTTAGATGTCCTCTGCTCTAAGGGTATAATAATGTTTTCATTAATTCATAAGAATGCAGATTGCTTCTACTCCAAGAATAGGAAGAACTAGCTTCAACCTAGCAGACTGGACTCACGAATTATCTGTTCTGACAGCATTCAGCATTTTTGTAACTACTAAGGGATAGAAGGAGGAAGGAACCAGTGTGGTATACAGTTTGATTGTCAGATTAGTCTGGAGAATCCCCTTTTAACCAAAATGTTTGCTAGATTACATTCTAGTAAATGCCTACATCACCATTTCTTAGTCTGTCTATCCCTCCCAGTGGGGGGACCTAGACTATTTAGGATTTTTTGGAAGACAAGTGGGATACCCCTTTGATAATAAGGAATAAACAAAGAAAATGTTTATGTTTTTTGATATAATATTTTAGTCTGAGTTTTTACAAGGCTAGGGTTGAGTATTTCTTCCAGTGATCCAGACTAGTCTAACCTAATCTCCCCAAGGTTCAGCAGTACAGCAATGGCAGCAGAAGACAACATAAAAGCTGTCCCAGCTAAATACATAAAAAAGGTACACAAAGAAGACTGAAAGTTGCTCTGAGCTGAGCTAGATGGATTCCCATCTCAAAATATGCTCCAAACTCTGCTGGAATCACCTGTTTTTATTCGGCCATCTCTGTTGATAACTCCACCCAGTTCAACACTTAAGACATAGATAGGCAAATCCCATTCCCTATGGGAGGATGGACCTCCTGCCACAGTCATTCCCAGGGACTCTGCATTATCTTTTTGGACAATCACCACTTTTTCATGACAGGTAACTGCATGGAGGACACTCTGCAAAGGACAAAGAGCAGATATAAATTCAATCACTGGGCAAAGGACTTTTCTCATAGGTTAATTATGACCAGCTGGTCATTCATTCACTGGTCATTTCATTGTACACCCTCTTAACTTACCTTCTTTCGCTACCATATTGGGGAAAAGATGATGACAAAGTTCCACATAATACAGAAACAGAAATCATCAAACAGAACTTTGGAACTGTGTATTTTATACCAAAAATACTATTTCTCACACAAGCCACAGAACATGTTGTTTAATCAAATGTGATTTTTAAAAAAGAATGATTTGCAGTAAAATGACGGGTAAGACTAAGGCTGACGATTGGTTGCCGGACATATTTGCTTGTGAGCGTGTTGGCCTTCATAGCCGTTTGGTGATGCACTCTATCTGTGAAAAGCGTATGAAGAACATTTCTTGTCAAAGGGTAGCTCAAGGATATATATGAAGCAATCCATAATGATGGCATATCTTTTCCACACTGAATTATGGGCAAAAAAATTGGGTGCAAGGTGCATTGTTACTAGTGACTATTCCATTTTTGGACACATTTATCTAGGCATAATCTCCCATGGTTAGGTGTCAAGACACAGGTTAAGACTGTTGAAGATTAATAAAATCAATAGACCCAATTCAGAAAATGTACAGAAGACCAGTTTCATGAAGCTAGGACCTCTGTAACTGCTGAAATATACTTGATGATTCAAAATACCTGTTTGCAGGGGCAAAATTACCAAAATCTAGAGTTTCAGGAACTTTGCTTATTGCAGTGAAGAGCCCTCTTGGATTCTTATACATGCTTGTGGAACAGGAGTAACTGCAGAATGTGGTCAAAAAAGTCAAGATGGTGGTTGCATGAGGGCAATCAAAGCCCTACCTGTTTTTTTTCTGTGCTTCACACATAAAATATAGGCAGAGCTTTGATTGCACTATTGCGGCTGCCCATCCTGACTTTTTTTACCACACCCTGCAGATACTCCCTGTTGTGGAAGGATTCTGTGTGCTGATTAAGCTATTCTTTTTATAAGCCAGAAAGCAATTTCTTTACCTCCTTAATATTAAAGTAATCCATCTGACTTCATTTCCATTTTTGTGATTCTTCTTACTGGCAAGTGTGCTGGTTTGAAAGGAAATGTCTTTTTTTCAAGTCAGCAATCTTTTGACTTTGAACCTAAGCATGCAAATTCTATTTCCTCTGTCTCACTTATCAGTAATGTGGCCACTAAAGTAGGCTCTTCTTAAAAACTCTTCTACAAAGAAGATGATGGTGATCTATTCGAGACTGAATTGCTGTCACCCACTAGATTTGTTAGGAGAGGAAGAAATAACTGATTCCTCCTTAGGTCATGAGCAAAATCTTTTCATAAGTTTCTCTTAAAAGATAAAGCAGAATGACTTCTCATTTAGGTTGCAATAAATACAAAGCAACCTTGAAGACTCAAAAAGGATGCTTGTGAACAGGTTTTTTTCCTTTCTTTTTACATATAAAATAACATTTAAAAAGGGGATGAGGGGATAGCAGGGGAAAGTGGAAGAAACAAATGTCTTCTGTGCTTTACTTAGTCTTATTACCGATAACCAAGGCCATCACTTACAAGGAAATATTTCTTAGCAATGGCATTTTTAAAGTAACCAATTCCATCTAGGCTTATAACATTACCACAGGGGCTCCACTGATAGGGAGATCCCAACAGATTGCCTCCTTTTATATATTCATTATAAGATAAATATTGGCAGCAGTTTCTCTTTAGCTTAATGTGCTGATAGCTGTCTAGGGGCAATGTAGAATTTTAATTATCTAAAGCTATTCTGTCAACTATAGAAATTTTGTGTTCCTCAGCACTAAAGCCTTTGGCTTTGAACACTGGAAATAATATCATAGATCACTGAGTAGGAAGGGACCACAAAGGTCATTTGTCCAATTTCCTGCTCACTTCAGGATCTGCTGAAGTATTTCAGACTGATGGCTATCCAGCCTCTCTTTGGAGACCTCCAGTGAAAGAAAGACCTCCACTTCATGAGGCAACCTATTCCACTTGATTGATTGACCTCTCTTGCCATTAGAAAATTCTTCCTAATGACTTCCCATGATCATACTACTCCATCACTCATGACCATCGAGTGTTAATAACATCAGTACCTGAAAAAAGGACAGTTAGTAGCCAATTTAAACTGAACACTAGAGTTGTACAGCATTCTGGATTTAAAGGGCGATATGTGATTACAAGAGGGCACAGTCATACCTTAATTCCATCTTTTCCTGAGATCATGTGTCAGCTGTGGAGGGTAGCCACCCATGCCCAGAAAAATATATGGCTACTTTAAGATGTTTCTGACATGCTACACACATGCCCAACTGAGCTCTGGATCACATTTTGCCCTTTGAATCCAGATTTCCGCACAGCCCTGTTTACTTACAGGAATTAAGGATCTTGAGCAAGACATTTAGCAGGAGTGTCTTGGTAAGGACACCTACAGATGCAAATATTAGATGATCTTAAGGTTCCCTTCAATTGATCTATTGGCATCTTGCCTTATGCACAGTGTAGAAATGTCTGATTGTTTCAGACATTGCACCATTCACTCCAAATGGGAGTTAATGAAATCTGGAACTGCAATCATTCGAGTGCCTCCCAGCTTCCCTGATCTTTGGCGCTGGACAAGCCAATGTTTACAATTGTCGCTGGCTTCAGAGCCAGGCTTTTTCCTCATAGAAGCAGGATGTCACGGGTTTTCATCGCCAAAAGGGACGGGTGAACCACTTTATAATAACAAATGATGTTGAAGGCTGAAGCTTATTCTTGGCACTGGATATTAGAAACTTGAAAGCAATATCGGCCCCACATTTACATCTGTGTTCTAGAAATTTCTAATCAGAGAGTTGGCTCTCAAAGTAAAAAGAAAAAAGAAAAAGAAAATTAGGGAGAGGGGGACATTTAAATCAAATTATCCTACAGAGTGGAAATATTTAAACATGATAATGGCCTATATAATGCACCTGGAGGTGATGAGTATGGATTGTGCAATCAACTTCTTTTTGCCTCTAACACACAGATGTAAAATTCATTAGACCAATGCCTAAGTGTATGGCATTTTGATTTGGAGCGCTAAAGTCTCTCCAAAACCCTATAAAATTGGGATAACATCTATTACATAATGACTGTGAAATAAGCCCCTTCAAAAGAACTCACACTCAAGCAATTTTAAAGGAGCAGAGCAAAGATTTTTTTGTGCAACAGTGTAAAGAAAATAATTCATGCATGTAGCAACTCCTTACACAATTCCAGCAGGAATCAGATGATATGCATTAGATCAGCAGAGAGCTGTGTAAAAGTTTTGAGGCAGCTTTAGAAGCATTGCTTCAGCTTTATTCATCAATTTGTTTAGCAGTTGTCTAAAAGTCACTTTCATCAGTAATGTTTTCAGGCATGATCTGTATACAGAACTGCTAGATTTCTAAATATCCATGTGACAACTAGGTGGTAGCAAAAAGATACAGGAAACCATAACCCATTACTAACAATAATACTAAAATAGCCTATGACATATTAATAAAATCAGCAATAACAAACAATGTCGTTGATCCCATCTGGTACCATGGAGCCTGTTCTGCCAATCCAGAAATGTCTCTATCCCAGACTTTTAAGGCATGCCAGAAAGTTAAAACCTCCATGACATGTTTCAACTGCTGGTTTATTCATTTATACTCTTCTATTCTTTTCTTGTGTTCTTTCTTGTATTTGTTTATATATTATCTTTAAAGTGTTCAATTAAAAAAAAAAAAGAGGCTCACTGGTTGGCACAGGTGTGGTGAAGCAAGTCAGAAAAGTCAAGATGGTACCCACAACTGTGGGATCAAAGCCCTGCCCTCTTTTCACACAACACACGTAAAATGGGATGGGCTTTGATGGTATGGTTGTGGCTGTCATCTTGACTTTTTTGATCCCTGCCCACTGCAGATACCACTTCCAGCAGGAAGGTGGAAAATCATTGCATACATCAATCTGTATCCCTTGCAAATTCCCCAAAGCAGATTTTTAGCAACCTATAGAAAGATGAAAAGGCAAGAAAGCTACAGCATTATCCACAGAGTTGCACAACAAATAAACAGAAAGGGGATCCATTTGTGAGCAGAAGAAAATGAATCTTTTTTCTTCTCTTTCTAGTTCAATAAGGCAAACATGGGAAATTAGCTAATATGGGCTAGAAGCGCCTTGATTTACTCTTCTATAGAGATAAAGCACCAGCTATTAACTTGTCATTGTGCAGTCACAAAATTGACTGAAAAGCTACTTCAGTTTAATGAGCCTAAACATCTCTCCAATCTCAAGACCTGAGGAATATTGAGTTCATCTGAAGAGGATACCATCGAACCACAAATGAAATCATCATTTTGTTTTATGGATTTAGGAAATATATAGCAAGAGATTAAAATGTAAAATAGAAATAAAACACAAGAAAACAAGGGGGGAAAATCACTGCATGGGCAGGATCTTGCAGCTTTCTCACCATCAGTTCTGTCCCTTTTCTACACACACGTGACATCACAACATTCATACAAAAGGAGTGGGGTTTGCATCACAATGGCATAAACTTGCTTTCATTATTCTGCACACACATACTGTTTCCAGTGCCAAAAGACACTAAAGCAGTGTTTCTCAACCTTGGCAACTTGAAGACATGTGGACTTCGACTCCTACACTTCCCCATCCAGTCATGCTGGCTAGGGAATTCTGGGAGTTGAAGTCCACACATCTTCAAGTTGCCAAGGTTGAGAAACATTGTACTAAAGCCTAGAGAAATTAAAATAAAACAAAGACAGAAGACTCTAGGTGGGTCTCAAAATTCAACAGATGGTCTGCAACAGCCATCATGTTGGTGGGACTCAGGGAAGTGCATCTGCAGCTGATCCTAATCCAGGCAATCCATATCCTATTGGTACCTCTGTCCCAAGCAGAGTGAAGCTTGAGATAAAGCTCTAAAAATATTTGGTATCTGATGTCATTGCAGCATCAGCAAAGACCATTCTATTTGCCCAGGCCTCTGATATACTGAATATTTAAAATCTGGCGTGGTGAAATTTTCTGCAACTTTTTTATATGTGAATTGGGCTTTATCTTTTTAAGCTATTACCTGGCTCTGGGAAATGTTTAGCCATGAACAGGATGGATGGATGGATGGATGGATGGATGGATGGATGGATGGAGAGAGAGAGAGAGAGAGAGAATGTAACTGCCTAAAAATGAGAATTAAAGTTTGTCTAATAGGTATGATGCCATGTCTTGTTTTAAAGTGATTGGATGTTATGATAGAAAAGATGACAGCAGACA